TGATGTGAACCGGTCAAAATTCATAGAGAAAAGATCAGACTATGGGCTCCCTTTCTTGTCCACTAGCGAGGTGTCATATGCCTTAAAACACACGAAAAGGTCTAAAGAATCAACCAGTGTACATCTAGAAGTTCATCATTGTGTTTCCTTTTTCATACACAATATTTCACCCCTTATTTCCTTTTTAATATATCTCCTATCAAAACAACATTCATCATCCCCTCTTATCATTACTCAATATATTTATTCAATAATTATTTATGAACGAGATAATCACTTTTCACATTTTTTTGCCAAAATCAACAATTCCAATTTCATTCATCAAATCAATTCACAAAACCATTCCTCTATAAAATCATGTTCCACAATACAAGTTTATGAAATCATAGTTTCATAGCTATATTTTAATAACATAAAGTATCTTAAGGTGATTTCAACAAAAATATATCTCATGGCTTAATAATAACCCAATGGCATTTTGACAAATTTAAAGTAATTCAAAATCACTCACAACATCATACAATCATGCATAACAAGTAGAAAATAGTTACCTTTCACCAAAACTATACAATATCACAATCAAACCAAGCCTCATACTCAAACCAACAATTTATAATCAGTGTACAATAATCACAAGTAACCACATATTTATTCACAATTAATAGAGTGGTTCACAACAAACATAAAGACTCAAAGTTCTTACAGAGCCCAACTCTTGCTATAATTACAATCCAACTATTCCAACACTACACTTAGAGTCTTAATAGCTCAATTGACTTATTTAAATCATTTATTCACATCAAATTACTCAATTTGAGCATAATCCCTAATTTTACACTTAGGTTCCAAGCTTAGAATAGCCATTTGAAAATTTCAAGCTCTATCAACAATCTAAACTATAAAAGGATAACCCAACTATCAAATCTTGATTCAAACAACAATATTATCATACTCAACAAAACCTAACTCAAAAAATCAAACCCTAGCTCAAAACACCATATAACTTCAAATCCAACAAAACTAAACCTATTAAACTCCTAATCTACTACATATAAGTCATTTAAACTTAAAAGATTAGGTGGAAACATCAGCCCATTCAAAAATCATAATAAACCATTGATTTCAATTATCTCAAATTTTAGAAATCTAACAGGAAATGGTAGAACTGAGGCTAGGAATAATTACTTTGATGTTTGGAAGCTCAAATATACTCCCCTAGGTCGAAAACACCAAACCCTAATAGAGCCTTATGAGTTCTCCTCCTAAAACCTTCTAAAAATCGCATCTAAAATTGATTTATAAAATCAGATTTTGATGCGTTTGCTATAGCAAACATCTAGCAAATAACACAGTGAACACTTTGTGTTGTTCGCTATACTAACATCTAGCAAACATCTAACAAACGATATAGTCAATATACTATGTTATTTGCTATAGCAAACATCTAGTAAATGTCTAACAAAAAATACACATAAAAAGGTTTGGCTTTGAAAATTAATAACTAACTCCACGAATCTCCAAAAATTACAAACTAAGTCTCTTTAGAAAGCTTGAGATGTCTAGTTTTTAATATAAAAAGAATTAATCAAAAGGAAGATCATTGACCCTTAAAAATACCCAGTTTCTAAGAATACTTAAAAAGGTATAGGGATATTATTCTCAATCATCATCTTTTATATTTCTATGCTTTAATTAACCTCAAGACTAAAAGATTAACCAGGTTAATTACTCAAATCCAATCTTAGTAGTCTCTAAACCTCATAATTAAAAACCTAGGATGTTACAAAAATCATCTTGGTGCATGCAAAAGAAATTTGGAGTTTCAAAAGAGATTTAAGATATGTTTTTAGAGATGAAGTCACAATAAGTGTACTTTCTCTTGAAAGAAAAGAACAATTAGACTCAATCCCTCATTGGTTTTTGATTATCAAAACCAAATTTTTTTGCCTATTTACTATCATTTTGAAAATATAGAACCAACTTCTAATCAAACAATCATTTCAAGTTCAAATTACACCAACTTTGATAATGTTCACAAACAAAACTAAAAATCTAGCAGAACAAAATTTTTGTTCAAATCTATATATACATAAAAATAGAGAAGTTTCCAACTATATACATAGGTAAAAATTTTGAGGGCAAGTTTATCCAAAATGAATGGTTGCCTCACTCCCATACTTAAATGACACATTGTCTTTAAAAAGATGGGTACAATAACAAAATCAAAACAATGAAAGAATGTCATCAATCCACTAAAAATGAGGATAGTCTCAACCATATCCAATTACAAGGAAATCACAAATTTCTAGTGTCTTAAAATTCATCAATAGAGCAAAACAGATAAGTGATACTATTCTAAATAGTAGTCAATATCAAACATCAATCATATGCAAATACAAACTATAATCAAAACTCATTTCCTAGCAATATATCATTAGCAATGAATAAAACCAATCAAGTTAAAATGAAAGAAGACTCCCTTGTATGTTCTTACTCTGCGCTCTAAATAGCTCTTGATCTTTGTTGCCCAACTAGGACACATCATTAGGGATACTAAAGTCCTACAAAATCAAAACAAAACATCAAGCAACTCTATAAAAGAACACAAAATAGACAATTAAACTACCAAAACCTTGAGTTGCCTCTCAAAAAGTGCTAATTTTATAGCTTTCAACAAGCCTATGTCACCAATCAATGAGGTTGAGATAAGCAATACTAATGTCTCTCAGGAAATGAAGTAGAAGTACTCAAAACTTGCTCAGTTTGCATATAGTAAGCACCCTTCACACTATTTTTCTCAATTATGGTAACTCTAAGAAGATCCTTAATGGCAAACGAATCCAATATAATTTGATTGAGATCATCCATCATAGCAACACTTGCCCATTATTTCATTTCATTTAGATACTTCATTGCTTTATACATACTAAACATGATTTGCTCATCACCAAGTTATAGAACTACCTTTCCTTTCTCTACATCCACCAAAGCTCTCGCTCTAGCCAAAAATGGTCACCTAACAATTAATAGAATCTCTTTATACTCTTTAATGTCTAACATAATATGATCAATAAGACAAATAAAAGAGTCAACTTTCACCAATACATGCTTGATAATGCCATATGGATAAGGGGGACTTCTATTAGTGAACTGGTGAACTAGGATTGACTTCCTCAGACTGAAGCTTCTTGAAAACAAACAAGGGTATAAGATTTTGCATTTGAAAGGAAAATTAGGCTTCATGACACTTAATCTAATTTATATAAGTCATTTAAATTCAAAAGATTTTGTGAAAATCTCAGCCTATTAAAAAATTATCATAAACCCAAGGTTTTAACAATCTCAAATTTGAGAAATCTAAGAGGAAAGGGTAGAAAAGATGTTAGAAATACTTACTTTAATATTTGGAAGTTCAAATATACTCTTCTAGGCTGAAAACACCAAACCCTAGCATAGCTTTATGAATTGTCCTCCCTAAATCTCCTAAATATCGTATTTAAAACTGATTTTATAAAACTAGATTTTGATATGTTCACTACAGTGAACATCTAGAAACGTCTAGCAAATGATACAATTAACATTTTGTGTTGTTTACTATATCAAACATCTAGTAAACGTCTAGCAAAAAACACAGAAAAAAATTAACTTCAAAAATTCATAACTAACTCCACAAATCTCCAAAAATTACAAACTAGGCCTCTTTGGAAAGCTTGAAATGTCTTTTTTTTTTTTTTTATGCAAAAGGGATTAATCAAAAGTAAGATCATTTAGCCTTTGAAAACACCCAATTTCCAAGACTGCTCAAAACAGTCTACAAATATTGCTCTCAATCATCATCCTTTATATTTCTATGCTTTAATTAATCTCAAGACCAAAATGTTAACTAGCTTAATTACCTAAATTTAAGCTTAGTAGTCTCTAAACCTCATGATTAAAAAGCTGAGATGTTACCGTTGTCCCACGTAGACATTCATTGTAAACCTAACACCACACATTTACATACCAATATATATGAATCTTTTAGCCCCACACATACTCAAAAAGCAACACCACACTCTCATTTACCTATTTTCATCAGGTACTTCTCATTTTGCCACAACTTTCCTTCCGTCCCCAAAAAAATTCCACCATCCATACTTACAAAAATGAAGAACTAAGATAGCACGGTGAAGTTTATCAAGATTAAGGGTGGAAGATTTAACATAAAAACTGACTTACCATTGCCTCATTCATGAGTTTTTTGACTTTGCAAACATCTCTGCCAAGTTTCTCTTATTTAGAGCTTCTATGCAGTAAAAGCTTCTTCAATTTTCCTTTCTTAATAAGATGGGTACTAATGTAATTTGACTATATTTATATATTTCTTTTTGGGTTATCCACCTTGATTAGGGATTTCATAAGTTTACTAACTCAAACTAGGATTTGAGTTATTCAATTGGCTTTTTAAGGAATTTTTTCAAACAAAACATACCAAAAATAGGTTGCCCTGTTTTAAAACTGTAAAGTCATATTGCCTTTTTTTTTTCCCTTACAATTTTTCTGCTCTATTTTGTTGCTGACTTTTGCCCTTTGGCTAAGAGTTGAGACTTTTTTTTTTTTTTTGATAAAAGTGTTGAGACTTTATATATGAACTTTATAAAAAAAATTAAATTTTTTGTCCAAATTAGTTAAAAAAAAACACTTCTGAGATACCCAAAGCTCTTGAGTAAAAATTTTTGAGATAAATTTGCACCTTAATCCAAAATTATATATTGAATATGATAAACTATAAATAAATAAATAAATAAATATGAATATGGTTTGAAATTTTATAAATCAAAATGTTGTTGTTTTTAGTGTTTTAGTTATTTAATTATATAATTTTAATAGCTTCCCCCCCCCCCCCCCCCGCCCCCCGGGGCGCGGCCGGGGGCGCCCCCCCACGATTTTAATTTTACCTGCTATTTATTGATTCATTGAATGAAGGACATGCGGGCTTACCTTGGAGGTACCTTTCCTTTGCCCACAAGCACAGGCACAAACATCATCGACTCATCTTTTCGTCAACGGCTGCCACGCCACCGACTCCAGTGCTGGTGGAGGCATTGCCAGAGTCTACGCTGGTGAGCCACCCCCCTGTTCTTCCGCGTACGCCTGGACACTCCTTTAGACGCCGCTCAACCCCGCAAGCTCATCCACCAGCCTTACGCATCTCTTCATTGCTAGCGGCAACTTGAGCTCTTACAAAGAAGTCATGGCTGCTAACTCTGTTTTCTCGACCATTTCTTCTTCTATTCCCAGAAATTCTATGGCAAAGTCTATCTTCATCTCCTATGCGCCAACCAAATTGACGCCTATTGTTCTTCGTCTCGCAAAAGGGTTCCCCTCTGTATCTATTTCTGACGCCACGAAACCCCTCCAAAAATCATTACGAGGTTTTTATTTTGTTATTTTTAAGTTGATATTTGTTGTAAGATATATAGTCGCGGAGTGTGTCGTGGTTTGCTTCATTCAGTTTATCCGTTACGACCAATCTATCTAATTGCTTATTACTGGTGTTTTCAATTTAAAGATTAACCACGCACTTCTTTTCTTCAATTGTTGTTTTGGTCGTTTTAATCCATGTAGATAAAGTGATGTTCTTATCGTGCGCGGGAGTATGATTGGTAGTGCTTGATCTCGTGAGTAAAATTTGTGGATTTGGTGGGGAATTTCTTCCGCCCGCTGTACGTAACATGAGCTTCATTAATTGTTTTATTTAAAAGCCTAAATTCAACCGTGTTTTTTGGCCTCGTTAGATTCAGCAATTAATTGTTTTATTTAAAAGCCTAAATTCAAGAGTGTTTTTTTGGCCTCATTAGATTCAACAATTATTTGCATCTAATTATGTTTGCAGTTTAGTTCCTATATCAGCTGGTGAAGCTAATTAAGCTCTCCTATCGTCTTTTCGAGTTCTGGACCGTTGTGTGTTTGTTTGTTTGCTTGCTTAAATTTTTTTTTTTCTTTTTCATTTCTGTGGAATTAGTGAGGTCAGTAGCTGCTCCTGAAGAAGCTGTATCAGGTTTTGATGAAATGGTTTCTAGTACTCAGAGGAAGTATTACATGCTCGGAGGAAAAGGAGGTGTAGGAAAGACAAGTTGTGCAGCTTCGCTTGCTGTTAAATTTGCTAATAACGGGCATCCCACTCTTGTGGTGTCTACTGATCCAGCGCATTCCCTGAGTGATTCTTTTGCCCAGGTGATTACTTGTCATTTGGTGATTCTTATGCATTTTGAGCTAGCTGCTCGTAGTTTGAGCCAGTTAAGTATGCGTTTCTTTGTGTAACTCATGTTTTTCCAATTCTACTCTAGGATTTGACCGGCGGAACATTGGTTCCTGTGGAAGGACCTGATTATCCACTTTTTGCTCTTGAAGTAAGTTGACCAGAGTGTTGGATAAATTTTCTGATTTTTTCCTTTGACAAGCTTCACTCTCTTGTTTACTTGATTGATGACGTGATTGTTATTTTCACATGGACGTGCCTATTTTAAACCTCCTATGTGCTTACTTAGACATGTAGTTTCATAACAGATAAACCCTGAGAAGGCCAGGGAAGAATTCCGAAATGCAACTCAAAAAAATGGTGGAAGTGGTGTTAAAGACTTCATGGACGGTATGGGTCTTGGAATGATTGTAGAACAGGTATTTATCACATGCTTTGAACCAGTTCGAAAGATAATGACAGCTTCTAATTAAGGTAGATGGTTGATACTGTTTCATATTTAGAGCATACACTCAACCATATCAATTTCATTTATTTACTGTATCATATATAGATTTAAATTGTAAAATTTTTGCTGAAAAGTATCTTAAATGTTGTTTGAACTTTTTGCTTCACATGGAATACAAAAGAAATAGGTATGTAATGCTTAACAATTTCAGCATCTTTAAATGTGGTTGTATTTTGAAGCGTAATTTAAGAAGGCACCTTTTCGATGGGGTTTGTAATTCCACTTTTAACAGAGTTTAATAAAAGTGATTCCTCTTGATAAAGAAAAAAGGAAATAAATACATGAGAAGTAACTGAAGCAAATATATAAGGAAATACGGGAGGATGATTGGTTCTGCCCTTCAACTTCATAATAGTTCTGCTTCTCTATGAGTGGCTTCTCTCTGGAACCATTTTAACTTAAAATTTTAAACTATCAAGGCACCTGAACAATCTTATTAATATCTGACATGTCGCCTAATGCAAAACAACTATGAACAGTATCTTGAAGTTTCATTTTGTTGTGAAGAATAGGACAACTAGCATCAAACTCTTGATCATTTAGTCGTAGGGCTTTCAAGTATATGTTAGGAACTACTTCAAATTCAAAAAGTCTAGCTTTGAAGCCTATGGGTAATCTTGTTATAATATCTAATTGTTTTTACATCTTTTGATTGCAAAAGTTGGGAGAACTTAAACTGGGAGAGTTATTGGATACACCTCCTCCTGGACTGGATGAAGCGATTGCTATCTCCAAGGCCTGTAATTCTTTGAGCTATGATTATTTCATTCTTGTGAATTGTCATTCATTAATAGGTCCTTTGTTGATGGCCGCCTAACAGTTAAGGGTTTCTTGCCAGGTGATGCAATTTCTTGAATCACAGGAGTATAGCATGTTCACTCGAATAGTATTCGATACTGCACCTACGGTGAGCAAAATTCTCAGTTTGCTTAATTGTCTTATCTTTTTATTTGTTTTCTGGTGATCATCTTGTAATTTCCTAAACAGGGTCATACATTACGACTGCTGTCCTTGCCTGATTTCTTGGATGCCTCCATAGGGAAGATATTAAAGGTAAGAATGCTTATTGCAATGAAGTAAAAGTTACACACATATCGCTGACCTGTAACTGAACGGATCATCTTATTAAGGAGTCCATCCGTAAACTACTTTACTACATGTGATGTCTGAATTCTTGTTACAAAGGCACATTCGTAGTTTCAGTCGTTGGTTGTAAATTTCACTTCCAATCTTACCTTATAAATCTGTTAGTGTCAACATCAATTGTGACATTTGTTAGCCATTTCATACTTTGTTATTTTCCTCTTAATTCTGAGTTGTTTCTACTTTTTTTGGGGCCGGGAACCTAGTTGTTGACCTCAAAAAAAAAAAAAAAAAAAACCAATGGTTAGGAGAGAAGGCCTAAGACTGGTTTTCATGATCTCTTTACTCTCCTTGCCCCTTGGCTTCGGAGTATGGGCAATGGATAAGCCTATTTTACCCGTCCAGAAATGTTTGATTTACCAAAAAAAGGGTTGGGTTAACAAAGATCAAACTCAGGTTGATCACTTGGTCATAGAAGCTTTTTCGCTGTCTCATAAATTTATTCATCCCCAAAAACTGAAGTTTGTAAGAGAAAGCCCTAAAATGATTTTAGGCAAGATTACATATAAGTCCTAGGCAAGGTAATTAATTACTAATAGTCCCCTATATTTAACTTATTACTAATAGGTCCTTAATGCAAATTCATTTCTATTTCTCTGTCTCTCTCCACACACTTTATTTGCATTCCTTGATTGTTTCTATGGTCTTTCAAACTTCATTCTTATTTCTACTGCAGCTTAGACAAAAGATAGCTTCTGCAACATCAGCAATCAAATCTGTGTTTGGGCAAGAAGCAACTCAACAGGATGCTGTAAGCCTAATCCCGTTGGCCTGGTGCTGCATGTACTTTCCCTGTGACGTGCTAACATTTTGTTATATCTTCAATGTGCAGGCTGACAAACTGGAGAAGCTTAGAGAGAGGATGATAAAAGTGCGTGAGCTCTTTCGGGACACTGATTCAACAGAGTTTGTTATTGTAACAATTCCCACGGTATGAATACTAAAAGTGTGCCTCGGAATTAACTGATCTTTGACTGTTGTTGCATGTAAGAGTCAATGACCTTAAGTTACTTAACAATAGATGTCCTTTTCTGTTACTATCTTACTAATAAGGGAAAAAGCTGACATTTTTGAAAGGTCTCTAGTTTTGTTAATCCCTTCCTATATATTGAGGGGAAAAAAAGGTTTCTAGTAGCAGGAAAAAAGCATTCACAGGTCTTCCTTAGTACGATCATTCTTTGTTTTCTTGATAATGCTATATTATAGTCGTTTGCTATATAAAATGTAAGTAATGATGAAGACAGCTAAATATGGTATTTGTTGGATGTGGACCTGCCATCACTTATGGGCCTACTAAGACCAAACCCTAATTTTCCTTGTAAATATTTCCTATTATTATTTCCACATCAGATTTGTAATCATTATTTTTATTTCAGTTTTTATTTCCCCCATTATTGAAGAGTTTTAGGTGATTTGATTAAATTCATTCTCTTCTCCCTCTCCTATATGTGTACTCAATTTCTATCAATAAAGGGCACAGAGCTGTTTTATGCAATTTAATTCAAGATCATTCAAAAATAAATTTTGACCATAACTTGCTGCTGAATTTACTTTTATTCATGTAGCAAAAGTCCTTTTGCTTTTTATTCATTGTATTTGTTAAGAGGCCATTATTGACATATTGAAGACGCAAAGCTTAAGGGGAGAATATTCCAACAACTAATGAGAAGATTAGGGTATCTTTGATTGAGTCAGTATTGATAAGATTGATAAGTTGCTGATTTATATAGATTTTCTGATTTAATTATATGACGGTAGATTTAGTTGTTGATTTCTCATTCAATAGTCGTTTATTTCCCTTGTGCTATTAAGAAGTTTATTTTATTTAGGAGGTCCTAGGTAGGGATATGCTTGAGTTAGAGTTCATTGTGTTTAGGAGATAGTTGTTGATTTCTAATTCAATAAACGTTTATTTCCCTTGTGCTACTAAGAAGTTTATTTTATTTAGGAGGTCCTAGGTAGGGATATGCTTGAGTTAGAGTTCATTTTATTCAGGAGACTCTCCTTGGGCTTGTAAGAAGTTTGAGTGAGTTTACTGCTCGTATCTTCCGAATAGATTTTACTCAATGAAAGTTTCCTTTTGTTCATAGTTTTTAAAGTGTCATTACTAATACTCACTTGTATCTTTGTTCTGTTTCTCCAAAAGGTGATGGCGGTCAGTGAGTCATCTAGATTGAGTTCCTCCTTGAAGAAGGAAAGTGTCCCTGTGAAGAGGCTTATTGTCAATCAGGTTCTTCCACCATCGGCATCTGATTGCAAATTTTGTGCTATGAAAAGAAAGGTACTTCAGCATTTGCTCCTGTATGTTTGAATTGGTTAAATAATCTCTGTCGGGTTATAATGGGGGAGAGGGGAAAACCTCCCCTACTTGGAAGACTAACCTTTCAAAATCCTTCAAAACTCTCCGCTTTTTGAATTTAAATTTCTCCTAAGTTCGGCAAATTTGGAGGAGGAACCAGCCATTTTCTTTGAATTTCTTATAGATAAACTAACTCATTTTAATCAATCATGTTGGGTAAAGATTTTGGTAAGATATATTATTATGTAATTTTATTCTTCTGTTGAATCTTTTAAGTTCTTGTTAATGTCAAACATTTCAAATTGGAAAATTATCATTTAATTATTTCGTTCCTCCTCCTTCTGGGGATCCCTCCCTTTTCCTTTCCCTTTGAACAGCCGGTCATATTCTTATTGTCACTTGAAGTTTCTGATTGTTTTAACCGTGTGTCAACCTGAAATGTAGTGCACGCTATCCAACAACTTAAGGAGAAATGAAACTCTTGTTTTCATAATTCTAAAGTTGTCAAAATTGGTTGGATTCATTGGATTAATTTGTTTTATCTACTAATTAAATGGGTTAGGTTGACCAATCCCTAGAAGAAAATTTTAGCACAATCCTCTTTAACTCAGTTCACTTGAATCACCGCATCGTCAACAAACTAATACATCTAACTCATGGTTTGACCCATTTATGTATATTATATATTTTTGTGTTTAGTTAAAATGTTTATATAAATAAAAACTTAGAACTATGTGAAAAAGAGTGAGAAGAGAAATTATATATAAGCAAACTAACCAGAAAAAATGGGGAGAAGTGTTGTACTGAGAGATAATGTATTTTTTTCATTTGGTTCTGAATGATAAAGTACATCATATAAATGCAATGGGGAAAGACAAAGGAGTAAAAACTAATTAATAGGCCCTAATAAATGCTAACAAGCAGTACAATAACAAAGATATTTCCACAAAAAGGCTAAATGCAGGAGCTTTATCAGATAACCTTAATCTTTCTTCTTTATCTCTTGAACTCTGTTAACATTAAATTTTTTTTTGGTTAAATAATAAATTGGAGGGCCTTATTTTTATTTTCTCATGGACTGAATGGGTTGATTTGTTTGATTCACTTAATTGAATTGATGGTTTTTATCAATTCAATTAAGCAGTCCAAAACAAATTAACGCATATGGATTGGCCTCCTCCAGATGGATTGGTTTGTTTGAGAACTCTAAAGATTTTATTGTTAGCTTTAAAGGTGACAACTTTTTATGCTGGATTCTTCCAGGATCAAATGCGTGCTTTTGATATGATCCAGAACGATCCGGAACTCTCCAGTTTGGTTATGATCCAGGCCCCCCTAGTTGATGTAGAAATACGGGGTGTACCTGCTCTTAAATTTCTGGGTGACATAGTTTGGAAATGATGGCAACAGTTATAGAAGTAATGATTTGGTAAGTTTTATTAACCTATTTTAAGCACTTCCTAGCGTAATCTATTCCTTTAAGCTTCCAACAGTAACGTTTAAGATATTGGATAATTACTTTACCAAAAAACGCTTAAATAAGGAAATATGCATTTTTATTTAACGATAGAATTTAATCCATAATTATTGCAGCTGACCAAACGGTTAAGATGGGTCTGAATACCTAGTTTCCTAGTTCAACTTCTAGACCCCTAATTAAACCAGTTATTTTTGTATGAGAAGCTAATAATATATCATAAATGAAATATAATGTAATATACCATCATGCGTTGATACTTTTAGACTCTCTGCATGTGAGCACTTCACGAGAAAAATGTATATGATGTTCATGGGATTGATAGCCGGTTCACTTTCCAAGTAAATTGCAGAAACTCAAAAATTTGTGCTAGTGAAATACCTACTAGACTTCAAAGGGTAGTTTTATTGAAGTGTCATAGAAGCAGAGATGTTACATGATAATGAATGTCATGCGCTGAAGGACGACCGAAAAAATAATAGCAGTAGAGACGAGAATGTTAAGATGAATGTATAGTCATATAAGAAAAGATGAAAGCCTGAAGTGGGATCTATCAAGAAGAAAAGGATAGATCATTGAAGGTGGTCTAAATACATGTACAGGCGGTTGATGAAAACGTCAATTAGAAGGGTTGACTATGGTTTTAAGCCTTATTAAAAAGGGTAAAAGAAAGGCCTAAAAGAGCATTCAAGGGAGTTATTAAATGAGATATTAGTAAATGATATATCTAAGGAATTTGTAACCACTCTGTGAGATAAAACTTCTAATTGCTTTAGTTTGATTGTTGGTTTACTTTCAACAGGTGTTGGTTATGAACGAAGCACGTGACATCAAGGGTTTCCAGGTTTATATGGTGAAAATACAGCAGCATCAGTTGTTCGAAATCCTATACTGGCATTCCAAAAGAGGCCACACCTTGCAAGCCTTACTATTCATGAGGGTTCTAGAGAGTAGAAAATATCTATAGCCATTTTCATGACGAAATAATGAGTAGATTCAACTTGACATTTGAACTTGATTTTTTTGGTTCTCCTTTTTTGAGGGATTTTCTCAAGTGTAAGCTATGCGTGTTGGGAAAACCGGTCGGTTCTTTGCAGGCTGGGGGTTTAAATGGGCCACGGTTTAGGCCTGTTTTCTAAGAAACACCAGTGACAAAGCCTTGAGCTCAGGCCCACGAGCTTTAGGCCTGTTTAGCAAAAAAATCACTGTTTTTCACATATTTTCAAAGAAATGAACATAAAACAGTAAAAATTATCAAAATAAAATTACAAACACAAGCATCAGCAGCATTTAAACATCTAGAGGCAGACACGATTCATCAATTCCTTGGGCTTTTTCTCTTTCTCATTGAGAAGGGATATGATGCTGCTAACAAGTAGGAAAAAAACAAATAAAGTACCCTTTTATTAATATAGAGACACGTGAAATTGAAATGATGCTATAGATATACGAGATGTTAGATTTAAAAATTTCATATTTGTGAGGGTATGCATTTATTTGATAGACAAATAGGACAAATGTGAATTTTATTTTGGCCAAAGCAAAATTTCACTGAAGTAGTTAAACAGTACTGTGTTGTCCCTTTAATGATTGCTAATCACAATTACAAATCAGATTATTAGCATTTAAATTTTGATTAGTTCTCTGCAATTATTAATTTCTAATACTCATGCACAGCAACCGATTCAGTGATTTGATTTGATTAAATAGTTCAAAAACTAATCATCTCAGATTAAAAGTTCAAATTAAATATTCGTGTCTCCTCGCGTATAGACGCTCCGGCTACATTTGTTTTGATTCTCATAAGTTCTATAGGGAAAAAAATTAAGAGAGAGTGTTGTAGTAGAATAATTTATATTCTAATTTTAGTTTTGAAAAAAAGGTGTCTCTACTTATAATTGCTTAATTCCTAGCATAAAATCACAATCCCCATTTCATGTCAAGATTATCATGAGTGAATATGAGTGTTTTGCTTCTTTTTGTTCTTAAGGTTTTCTTTTTGGGGTTAAAAAAGAAATAAATATAATAATATTAATATTCATACCCGTTCAAAATGTTTTTGAAAAAAAAAAAATAAAACAAAATGGCGAGCTTAAACAAAACAACCCACGGCACCACAAGGCTAGCCTATTTAACTCAAGGAACAAAAAATCGGACCGGATACTAAACCGGTTGAGATAGTGGTTCAAGGGTTAATGGGTCAGATCGGGATCAACTCAGGATCAAACCGGTCATATTAAAATAATATAATTTAATTAAAAATGACAAAATATAACAATACTAATAATTACTAATAACAAAATATAAAGAAATGCAATAAGAATTTGATTGTAATAATAATAAAGTACAACAATATTAAGAATTTTGATTTTTATAATTTTTCAATAACTAAAATTAATAGTTATTGATACCAAACGCATCATCAAAATTCATTTAAATCTATAATAATTGAGATATTAGGAGTTAAATGAGAAAAAATAGGATAAATATCAATATATTTATTCAAACCGGTTCATACCGGTTTTTACCGGTTTTCACTGGTTCACACCGATTTGACCAGTTCAATCCAGTTTGAACCGGTCCCCGGTTTAGCTTATGAACTAGACCAGACCACTGACCGGTTCATCGGTTTACCGGTTGAACCGGCAGGTCCGGTCTGGTTTTTTTTTTACACTGATTTAACTCCAAACCCTGCACTACTAGCGTTTTTAAGCCCAAGTTATCTTTGAAGATATCAAATTACAAGCCTAGTTTTAGATTTAAACGGGTCAGTCCAATAGGCTTAGCTTTTTGGTCGAATCTGGTTTTGATTGTATAGGTTTCGTGTGTAGAAAAGTAATGTTTTTTCATCTAATTATTCCATGCTGATTATACACATTGAGAATAATCAGAAGAATCAAATAAATGAAATCAAACTAAATTTGAAGGAAAGGATTAGGGCTTGCTTTTGAAAGATTCATTTAAGAGGATGTTTGGGTTAGCTCTTAGAGAATAGCTTTCAGAATTTGTTATGTATTTGTTTTATCAAATGAGAATCTTTACCAAAAAAAATATTTCCTTCGTCATCTTAAACAGGAGCTGAGGGACATTGCATATTCTTTTTTAATGCTAAAAGATCAAAACGCCAAATATTATTGAACATAACACCTAATCTCAGAGTTGCGGTGTTCAATTTTAGCAATGCTTGCAAAAGGAACTATAAACAACAAGCAGATGTCAGAATTAACTTACATTTATGAAACCCAACACTAAAAAATTATTTAACCTATTTGGAAGTAGCAAAAATAAAATAAGCAAAAAAAATCTTGAAAAAACAAATGGTAGAACAACTAGTATAAGAAAAACAGCGCACTCCCTCTGGTTCTTATTATAGGAGCTCTTCTAGAAGAAATTCTTGGTCCTTTTTATAAGACCCTTTGAGAGTTTCAGTTAATATTAAATACTTTTTCTTTTTATATATGCCCATATTTAATGAGAGTAGTGAGAGAATAAAAATTTATATGACGTTGGAATTTAGTGTAATTAATAAGGGTAATGTTGGAAATCATTTAGATTTTATGACAAATTTAATACTTTTAACTAGTTTTATTGGTACATGAGAATTAGTTACTTGGTTCTTATAATAAGGACTAGAAGGAGTACATGATAATTAAAAAATATGTCTAGTTTTTGGACTAGCTACAACAATATAACAAGTCAAAGAAGTGGACATTTTTTTATATACCGGCTACACAATAGGTGCAAAAGTGGGGCCTTTTTAAACAAATTTTTACTACACCTAACGAGACACCGGTCCAAAACACCCATTACACTCAATCTAAAAAAAACTTTTTTTTTTCCTTGTAGTTTTACCCAACATATAGAAACCTATGATGGTGTATGAGACTGGTTCCTTATGTTGTTATTTTGTTAATTTCGTAAGTGTGGACACCACACATATGAAAAGACAATGTGAGTTTTATATTGACTAGAGATGGATTAGATTGGCAATGAGAAAAATGTATGTATAAATCTGACATGTTTAAGGCACAATAACAGAGTCAAGATGCAACTATATAGTTGTCTTGTGCTAATTCCTATGAAAGAAATTCTTTGAACAAACACCTAATGAAAACATCATGTCCATGCGGTCACAACAAAGCACTTGGTATGAAAGAAGGAAGAGAAAGAGATTGGACCTGTAACATCTAATTCACCAAATGTAAGTAGGAGATGTTAGGTTATAATTAGTCTATCCTTGTTAGATTATGGCCCAAGTACAATGAAAGTGAGATTATTATGTGAATAAAGAGAAACATGAGTCCATAAAGGGAGTTTTCTCGTCATGATTTAAAAGTTTAAATTTGTAACTGTCAAGTACATGAGTTGTCAATTTTCCATGCTGAATGCAATTCCTAACATATTGGCCTAACTCCCCTCCTGCCTTTCTTCCTTTCTCTTCCTCTTCGATGCTATTTGTTGTGAGTCGCAATCCTTATTTTCTATGTGATTTGGATTTATGTTGGGTAATTTGAGCACTTCATTGAATTTCAAGTACACCCCGAAATTCTTAATTTCTCAACATAAACATTATCAGTTTTAAGAGGCCACTTTTAAAATGAGTTATAAACCTAATGGTTTTTTTAATCAATAACAACTATGGTTTCTGTAAATATTAAATTAGTTTGAATATATATAATTTGGTTTCATATTAATAACACTAAACCTCGTTGTTAATTTGTGAAGTTTTCTTGTCGTTTCCTTAAAAAGAACTCATTGATTTCAAAATTTATTTGCCAAGAATATGGTACTTTATGTATGTTATTATGAAGAAATTATAAATTTTTGAAACCTAATAATCATTTATATGAAATTAAATTGTTCCTCTTATCATAAAAATTAATTGTTATTTAAATATAATAGTTTGCATTTTATTATTAAAAGATAGTGTGTTTAACTTTCACTTTAGGCAAATTTTCTAACAATTCACTTGGTCTTATTGTCTAAGCCCTATCCGCTATTAATTTATTGACTCTTATTTCACTAACCACAGTTGCAGAAGAGGCTTTTACTTTTTTTCTCCTAAAAAACATATTCAAATAAATATATTTTAATTTTAATTTTAATTGCTTTTGAAGGGAAAAATGACCTATAAATACCTATTGAAATCTATAAAAACAAATAGGTAAAGTAAATATGTAAAAAGACCAAATAGGTATCAAGTATGAATTTGAGATTTGCAAAGTTTAGTGAAAAGATTAAAATGTCACTAAAGTGAAATAAAAAGCATAAGAAGGTTTTGTACAAAATATTAGCATGCAGAGGAAGGAGAGAAATCTTAGAGTAAGGTGGAAAGCTAGAAAGAGGAAAGTATAAGTAATTTTTTTGGGTCAAAAATGCTAAATTTGTTTTCAAAAATGCTATTATCTTACTCCTTCTGTTGCAAACATTTTTTATTTGGGTGGGTTTTGCTTATAGGTAAGTGGGTAGGAGAGAGAGTTAACGTGTGACGTTGCGTAAGTGAGTAAAAATTGATGGTGGAATTTGAGTTTTTCAATCTTTTGACTTCTACATGATGATATGGGGATGTTTTAGTTGGTGAAAAGAGGTTAGCTTGAGAACTGGAAGAGAATGATAGATTCTGTAAGAAAAATGGAAAAATGGCGGCAATTGATTATGCATCTGTGAAGTTTGAGGGGAAACAATAAGTACAAGGTTATTAGCATTGTTAAAATCAAAAGTTGAATTATAAAACCCTATATTGAAGTTGTCAATGGAGAAAGTGTGTGTGTTTTGGGTATTTTGGAAGCTGATGGAAAATCATTACTGGAGGACTAACATTTTGATTTATGTTTACTTGTTTGTTGCATGTTAGCAAGTTTTGACAACATCTAAGATTGGGTCAACATTTTTAAAAGGACTTGTATGCTTTTTTCATGTAGGTGGGGACTTTATAAAAAAATGTTGATGGTGACATTAGATATAATGATAAGAGCGTTAGGGCAAAATTGATAAAAGAGGGCATTAGGCTTGAAGATTTGAGGGTGATGATAGGATGATTGTTTGGTATAGATGTTAATAGTTGTGACATTAAGT